GGCCCCCTGGCCGAAGGCTCCAATTCTCACAGGAGGGTCAAAACAGGAAAACAAAGTTACTGGGAAAAACGGCGAAAATCAGTAGCCCTCGGCACATAGAGCCCTCGGCACTAAGGAGGTCCCCGGTGCTCAGAGCCCTCGGCTAATCATCTACAGCCGAGGGCACCATTTCCGACGTAATATCCGCTCCAGATGTATATAGATCATCGTACCAAGTACGACGTCACATCCAACAGTCGCATTAAATGCGGCCACATGCGATTGTCAGCGCCAACCGGTTGAAGTGACCCCTCAGCCAATGGATGCTTGACACGTGTCCCCATTTGCCATTTATTGCTACTATAAATAGCACCTCATTCCCCCATTTGTAATTAGGAAGCAAATACGCTGAATACACTTTCTAATATACTCTCTCTCTCTACTTACTTGCTCTGACTTCTCTCTAGTTATTCCCCGTAATAACCCCTCGAATAAGCTACCCCCGGGTACACTATCCATCAAGATTCATAATTTAAAATCTAGACATATATAATTTGTGAATTTTAGGTTCAAACGATTGTAATTTTTTGTGATGTTTTAAAAAACTCAATTGGTGGTGCTATTTAATTTTGATTTTCTTAATTTATCTGGTCAATTAAAAGTAGTTACTCATCATTTTAGGATTTAAACTAATTTTGAAAAAAAAAAAATAATAAAACGATTACCTGTGGGGAAACCGTTACCCGCGGGAAAACTGTTACCCGCGGATAAAAAATACCCGACGGATAACGGGGCGGTTTTGGGGAAAAATATTATCAAACAGGGCGGGTACGGGTAATGGTATACCCGACCCCGAATCGCCTCGTTGCCATCCCTACTTTTTTCTAAGAGAAATATAATACTGCAACAAAGGCTGAAAATTTTGAGATGATTTTGGTTACTTAGTTAACAAGGATTTTGACTCTTAAAACTGACCAAAGAAGGTTATTTATTGGTAGATCTAAAAGATGATAGTTCACAGAGTAGAGCATCTATTTTTTTTTTGATAATCCAGGTGTCGGGGCTTACGCTCCCATAATGCTGGAGTCTATGAACTACCCTCCAAAGTCCCTAGACAGTTAAGTCCGAATCTGATCACAGTCAGCCTCGTCAGTACTAGCTCCAAAGGACGAATCCAACAAGACTTACATCACCTTTCAGGCTGCTCCTCCCACCACACCACACGAACCCGCTACCTTCATTACCATCCTTACCTTTCAGGACTTACATCTATTTTGTATGCTATGTGACCTTAATCCCAAACAATCATCAAGAAAAAGTACTAGCATTAATTAATAGCATGTCAGTAAAATCATATCATGTGTTTCCCACATATATCTTTTTACTTCAGTTTTACAAATTTGGTTTCTAACAAATTTACTAAAAAAGCAAAACGAGAAATATCTTTTTCCTTTCAAACAAATATTGTGATGGATTCAATTTTGGCTTAGCACTTTTTTCAAGCATATTGTATCTATATTTGTTCATGGAATTACTAGAAAACAACTCTCACGTTGTTAATTATCCAAGTATACTTATTTTTTCTTGAAACTTAGATAGCAAATTCTCCTCACAATCATCACTATGTGAAGCTTATGCCTCAAATCTGAAACACAGACACAAATAAGCATAATTATGAAATGAAAACGTTGATTGGATTGTGAGATTGAATTTGACTCTATAAGATATATATGAAAATGGATTTTTAATTTCTATGATGAATATCGATTCTCTATGAGACTGACATAGTGACATTATAGTACGTCTGTGAATGATCCCACTCTCTACCGCAGTCTTGTCGGTGCACTACAATACCTCACCTTTACCCGGCCGGATATTTCATATGCCGTCTAACAAATTTGCTTGTTCATGCATGACCCCAGGGCTCCTCATTTTCAAGCCCTCAAACGCATTATTCAGTATATTCATGGAACCTCACACTTGGGCATTCATATCCATCGCTCTCCGGTAACCTCGCTCATCGGATATACTGACACCGACTGGGGGGCTGCCCTGACACCCGCAAGTCCACTTCCGGCTACTGTGTTTATCTCGGGGACAACATCATCAATTGGTCGTCCAAATGTCAGGCCACCATTTCTCGGTCCAGTGCTGAGGCCGAATACCGCGACATAGCTAATGTGGTGGCAAAACTTTGTTGGTTGCGTAATCTATTACTAGAGCTTCACTGTCCTATCCCAAAGGCTTCTATTGTTTATTGTGATAATGTCAGTGCCATTTACATGTCCGGTAACCCTGTTCAACATCAGAGAACTAAACACATTGAAATTGATATTCATTTTGTTCGGGAAAAAGTTGCTCGCGGGGAAGTTCGGGTCCTACATGTACCATCCCGCCATCAGTTTGCTGACATTTTTACCAAAGGGTTGCCACGGATCTTATTCCAAGAATTTCGGTCCAGTCTTCACGTCCGGTCGGTGGACGTTCTGACTGCGGGGGAGTAATAACGAAAGGCATGCACATGCATGCATACGTCCGGCCAATGTTTTATTATATCAATTGTTTATTGTTATCTCCATTCAATAATTAATTGAATGGAGATTGTTGGGCCGTAGGCCGCGGGTAGGCGGTGCCAGCAATCTGCCAGCCTGCCGGTGTAAAGGGGTAAAGAAACGTGGCGCTTCGCTTGTGAATCGTTGCGCTTACCGCTACACCAAAAGTAATTGCTGATAGTGTAGCACACTCCTTTCCCTTTATAGCAAAAGCGAAGCGCCACGTTTCTTTACCCCTTTACACCGGCAGGCTGTCACATTGCTGACACCGCCTACCCGCGGCCTACGGCCCAACAATCTCCATTCAATTAATTATTGAATGGAGATAACAATAAACAATTGATATAATAAAACATTGGCCGGACGTATGCATGCATGTGCATGCCTTTCGTTATTACACGAGTATAATAGTAAGTTAAAAAGAACCATCCTCTCTATAATCTGCTTTGTCAAACCAAAACACTTTTTAATATTTTTACTAGTACACGACACATGTTGCATCCATATTTTCTAATACAACAATTCAGTATCTACAAAAACGAAAACATTTAAGGGAATCACATTAACTACATACGGAGTATTATAATTAAATGAGTCTTACAAAAAAAATATAATATTCCCACATAAATACATAATATCATATTCTACCAACAATACTCATCCAAAATTCCATATAATTCGAAGACACACAAATAACATCCGATACAATTACTATAAAATGTCCATAGTTTTCCAGAAAACGATTTGAACGCAGAATACCTACAAGTTGAATAAAAAATAAGCACAATTAAAATCTACTAGTATAAATCAAGACACATGTAGAAAAAGCAGAAGCACAAGTAAAACTAAAAATATAGTGAAAACTTATCACCATGATGTATGATTTAGTATGAATATACACCCGCATATATAACAACAACTATATGTCTAAGGGTCAATTGTAAAAATAGGACTAAAAGTTAGTCACTTTGCACAAATAGGACCAAAAAATAAACTATGTTTTGATAGGACTAATTATGTGTGTTGGACAAATATACCCTTATTGTTATTAAAATGTTTTAATTCATAATAAAATAATAAAAAATACTCCGTAATAAACATTCGAAAAAAATATTAAAAATAAATAAAAATATTTTAATAATAAAAATGAAAAAAAAATAGATTTTTTTTTTAAAAACGCAAAACAAAATTATCACCGCCGCCTCAACCGCCCCAGCTCCCCCACCTCCAGTCACCAGGGAAAAAAATGCCAAATCAATTACGAATGTCATATTTATGGCAGATTTAATGAAAATTTTTTGCATTGGCAAAGACTAATATGCCATTTTTTGGCATTTTTAGAAAAAAATAGCAGTTTTTAGAAAAAATGACATTTTTTACACAAATCGGATGTGGTGGTGTAGAGAGGCAGTACAAGCAGTGGGAAAGGCATCTAATTTTAAAAAAAATAATAATTTTCTTTTAAAAAATTAATGGGAGAACTATCAAATAAGCCCTCGAACTTTCATAAAAAGTGCAAATAAGCCCTCGAACAGAGCCTCCTATAAAAGGACTTATTTGCACTTTTTATGAAAGTTCGAGGACTTATTTGGTAGTTCTCCCAAAATTAATTTAAAAAAAATGCAAAAAAAAAAATATCACCGCCGAAGCTACCACCCCAGCACCACCACCTCCAGTCACGAGGGGAAAAAATGTCAAATCCATTACGAATGCCATATTTATGGCAGTTTTAATGAAATTTTTTTGCATTCACAAAGAGTAATATGCCATTTTTTGGCATTTTCAGAAAAATGTCAATTTTTAGAAAAAACGGCATTTTTTTAACCTGTCGGAGGTTGTGGTGTAGGGAGGCAGTACAGGCAGTAGGAAAGGCATCCATATTTTTTTTTTTAATTTTTCTATGAAGGTTTACTATTTTTTATTTTTTATTTTAAAAAAAAATAAAAAAATTGATTTTTATTTATTAATTTTTTTAATATTTTTCTATGATTTTTTTAAAAAAAATTCGAATTTATTATGAATTAAGTGATTCCATTGAGTTGAAGCCATAACAATAATTAAGCAATTCAAATACTGAAATTATATGCTATACATCCAAATCTGCAAATGCACGTCATATTGTCATCACTTAATCATAACTAATGTTTCGAACATGGAGGCTCAAAACTAATGAGCAGAAATGAGAAAATAGTATATTAACTACTAGCGAACATAAATGTATGTAAATCTCAATGTCTTCTCTCATGTGTCTAAATGCTGGTAATCTCTAGGGATTAAAATCATCAGGTACCTGCTACGATCAATAATGTACGAATATGTTTTAGTGTAATGAAAACTGTCCACTTTTAATGAAAATTGACAAGTTCAATTGAGTGAATTTCATTTTCTCCCATTCACTCATACATATAATGCATATCTATAGAACAGTTTAAAAAATGATATTTATAACTTCAAATATCTAATATATAGGTCAAAATATATTTCATGGCAGCTCCTTCACTCCTTGACGGGTGAACACCATGAAAAATAAACTATTTTATTTTCAATCTAAATATATAAACAATGAATTTTGTTTTTTTAGATACCAATTGCCAAGCCTATTTACAATGGAATCTGACCAAAGTCATGTTTAATTGCAACAGATAGAAAAGAAAAATAATGAAACAAAAACCAGATATAATACCCTTATTATTTCTGGCTCTTCTTTCTCCAGAGATCGCCGAACATTTTGATGCCAGCTCTTCTTTAACCTGCTTCAAATGGAGAGTAGTTTCTTATTCCTTTACCTTGGCTGATGATGCCTCCATAGCCTTTTTGTTCATTTGTTGGTTCAGGTTCTCGTTTTCTCTGTAGACGTTTGCAAGTTCTTTTCCTTCTCTTCCTGTTTGGCCCTTAACAAGCTTACTTTATCGTATTCTTCCGGGCTATCATTTAAAACCACACTTGCAGGTGTGTTTTCTTTTTCATTGTCGGGAAAAGCTGGTTTCATTGTTCTCTTCTTCATTTTCTCCTGCACCAAAAGATCTAAGAGTTTTCAATTCCAGTCTTTTGTTGCTTTCTAATTAAAAGGTAGTATAAATTTACTGAACACAATTAGCAAAAGAAGCACTAAAGAAAAGAAAACTCTGTAGTAAAAGAATAAAAGTATCAATAGAGGCACCAAAACCTCACACAAACAATATGTGAATCTTTCCTCCCAATTGTGACTTAATGCCAGAGATGAGCCCACTCTGGGATGTCAGGGGTGACAAAACCACATCTTCAACTGCCAATTAGTCAACCCTAACATCTCTTATAGCTCTACTCCAATTGCTTCAGCTCTAATGAACTAGAAATAAGAGTCTAATACATAGCAAGCTCACGAGCTCCTTCACACTTTACACACAATACACACGAAAATCACTTTTCTATATACACGAAATCCAATTTTATAGACAGAAAGTTTTTTAGGAGATATTGATAATGGGGAATCAATACTTGCCGCACCAGTAAATAATCATGCAAAGTAGGGAAATATGGTTCCATAAACTCTATTATTTAAGATTCATTATCCTAAGTAGTTGAGAATCTTGATGAAGAGAAGCACAATTTCTCATTTAAACTTCATAACTATTATTGCACCGTTAGAGACCACTTATGAGTCTTAGATTTATTACCTTAAATATAAAGACACTTTTGAACTCAAATTCAACACCTTCATCGAAATCATGTTGTGAGCTCTTTCAAGAGATCAAATTCTCAAAAAGTCTCTGACAAGGATTGAAAAGGGTAATGTTTTTTTGCCATCAGTTTTTCATCCATGTGTATTTGTATAATTGTATTCTCAGAGTCACAGCTTCATTACTTCATATGTGCCCAAGTCTATTAAAAGTCACTATGATGGCTGGTCCATCAGTAGTGCTTTTTTATTTATGCGGAAAATCAGTTGTGCTTTACTCTTGGGATTTTATCAATTCAGGACCCGAAAGATAAATGAATTATCAATCCGGGACCTGAAAGATGAAATGTATTGATAAAATTCCTTTGTTTCTTTTTTACTAAGAGTTGTATGATATTTTGTAATGCTTGTAAATTTATAAATTGTCGCAACCAAACACAATGAATACAAATGATTACAATTATACTCATATAAGCATTTACAAATTTAATAAATAGATAATGCATACCGTGCAACGCACGAGTGAAAATCTAGTAGTAAAGGACAAGAGCACTATTAATAAAAAACTAACTTTCTTTATTAATAATATCAAATAAAACAATAAAATCAAACTTCACATATGAGAGAGACATGCAACATACAATGGCGCAGCCGTCTGGCACTAGAGACTAGACCGCCGTCATCTTTGCTGCCACGACTGGCACCAATGGCGCCGCGCCGTGCTACCTGCCGCCTCATCCAACATCACCACCACTTTATCTAGAGCCATTGTGCCTTATCTGCACGAATGTCACTCCTTCCCCCTCCCCGCTGCATCGCCACTGCCTCCTCAGGGAGAACCAGTGCAGATCTCTGATCTAGAAATGCCACTACAAAAAGTGTCATCTTACAGTTGGAATGAAAAAAAATTAATCACAGTGGACTAGAATGAAAGAGTCAAAACTTCTCGATACTCCACATAAATGTAACCTACATAAAAGCAATATTAAAGACAAACTTGAAAGAACATCATGAAAAACCAATCCCAGTGATGAACAATCGAATAAAAAATGAAAAACAACATATGCAAAACTGAAAAAGGAGTTGAAATATTCTGAAAGTGAGACAAATATTTAGCCTAACCTGTTAACCCCCAATTCTTCTCACAAACTTTGCCTTATGGATTGCAGCCACAACATAAGCCCAATTAGCAACATCCTGAAGGACTTTGAAATATGCAGACCTACATGACCTGTTGAATAGTATTGTCCCAACAACTCCCAAAAATCCAACCGCATATCCGATCACCATGCTTGCATAAAACTCACCACCAAAAATTGTATTCGTTTCTTCTCTATTAGAAGCACCATCTTCTTCTTTTTCACTGAGTCGAGGTGGAGAACGATGAATTGGTTCCTCTCCTGGACAGATGTTCGGGAGTGGATCTCCACATAGCTCGGGATTCCCTATGTATGCACTTGCATTAAAGCTCTGAAGTTGTGTGCCTTTCGGAATTTTTCCTGATAAGTTATTGTTGGACACATTGAGAACACTTATGCCATAAATCAGGCCAAGGCTTTGAGGAATGGAACCAGACAAATGGTTATTAGACAAATCAAGAGAGTCTAAGTTTGCCAAGTTACCAATCCTTAAAGGAATCTGTCCCATTAGGTTGTTTCGAGATAAGTTCAAAGAAACCAACCCAACAAGCGATGAGATTTCAGTAGGAACTTCCCCATTCAACATGTTGGATGATAGATCAATACTCTTTACGAGTCTTAATGTACTTCGGAATTCAGTGACCTTACCTTTCCACACAACATCTATTGTTTCGTCATCTGGGCTAAAGGCTTCATCAATACCATAGGATTTACCTGTTATGAAATAAGAAATGCTGGCACTGGGATGTTGTTCATGGACAGCCATTTTAGTGAGATTAGAGAGACAGTTAGGAAGAGTCCCTGAGATGTGGTTCAAGGACAGGTCCAACAGTTGAAGAGATTGGAGACGGCACAGACTTCTGGGTACACTTGCATTGAAGTGGTTGGATCTTAGCACAAGTATTGCCAGCTGTTTTGGATTTTCACCCACCCAATCTGGTATTGGTCCAAATAGGTTATTGTGTCCCATTTGTAAAGCTACCAAGCTGGAGCAGTTTTTCATGGATGGAGGTAGAGTGCCTGTAAAATTGTTATGCTCAAGATGCAATGCCTTCAGGGAAGCTAATAATCCAATGGAAGTTGGAAGACTCCCTGATAGATTGTCATTGTTTGCCAAGTTGAGAACTACCAGACCATGGAGACTTGACCAACAATCTGGAAGTGTTCCTGAAAGTTGATTGAACGAGATATCCAAAACCTTCAAACCAGCTGCTGCCTTAACGTCACATAGGGAGTTGAGGTCAGTGAACTTATTCTGAGAAAGGTACAGTGCTTTCACATTGAAAAAAAAGATTGGAATGGCACCTTCTAGTTTATTGAAACTCATATCTAGTTCATTGGCGTTGATTGATGCTTGACCACCATTTCCAAATGTTCCCGTGATTTTGTTATGAGAAGCATTAACACTCATAAACTTAGTTGTATTCCAAAACCAGGAGGGAATTGAATCTGAGATGCCGCTATTGGAAATGTCAAGCCGTCTATAATTGACTTGAGTTCTAAGCCAAATAGGAAACTTGGGGCCCAACTTGCAAGACCTAAGGGCTATCGTTTCCAATTGGAAAGGAGGAAGCCAAGCAGAGGTGACATTAAAAGTGAAGTTGTTAGAAGATAAACCCAGGTGGCGTAGCTTGGAGAGTGTAACAAAGTGATGTTCGGAAATGACCCCATCTAGGAGGTTATATGCAAGAGATAATTTGGCCAAAGAAGGGAAAATGGTAAGATCAGGAAATAACCCTGTGATTCGGTTGCGATGTAAATATAGCTGCTGCAGAGGGTGATTCGGGCATAATGTCGATACTGTTAGGCTTCCGTTAAGACGATTGGAATCCATGGTCAGGTTTCGCAGAGTGCATATGTTCCAAATGGATTTCGGGATTTCTCCTGTGAGTCTATTCCCGCCAAGATTAAGAGCTTCAAGGGCAGACATATTCCCGAGAGCTTCAGGAATGTGACCTTCCAACCCATTCATGCGCAGGTCAAGGAAAGTCAACTTAACGATCTTTCCAAGTGTTTCAGGGATGGAACCTTGTAATCTATTTTTGCTGAGATCAAGGTAGGTGAGGGCAAGCATGTTGTTTCCAAAATTTTCAGGAATGGAACCTCCTAAACTATTCGAGCTGAGATCAAGGTGCGTGAGAGCAAGCATATTGTGTCCAAAATCTTCAGGAATGGAACCTTGTAACATATTCAAGCTGAGATCAAGGTGCGTGAGGGCAGGCATGGTGTTTCCAAAATCTTCAGGAATGGTGCCAACAAGTGCAGTGTTTCTAAGTTTGAGATGTTGAAGGGAAACTACAGCAAAGCTATGATTGTTGCGATTCCCAATCGAAGATGAGATATTCTGGGGTGCGAGCAACTCGGGGTTATCAATAAGATTCAAAGACTTCAAGTAGGGGAGCTCATCAATGAATGGAATGCTAGAATATCTAACTTTGGCGGACAGATACATACCATGAAGATCAATCTCGATGACATGACCGGTAAGCTCATCACACCCAACTCCATCCCAATCGCGGCAGCAATCTCCATTAGGGTTCCCCCAAGAGCGTAGATAGTCGTTCTCGTCAGGAACGTTGAGCTTAAACTCGAGGAGTACTTTTCTCTCCCCATCAATGCATTTACCGGAGGTGGCAGAGGATATTGATATCACCAGCATGCAACTCGCGATTTGAATGGACCATTGAATCAACCGACCCATGCTTAGCCTCTTCCAGTAATTCTCTGTCATTTGGTAGCAGATCGTTCAGTTAATTAGCCAAAGCTCATCTCATCTTTATGCATTTTCCACTTCAAGCAGCAGCAGCAGCCGTAGAACTACCAAGTCGTTTAAAATGGAGTCAACGGGTATGACCGCTTCGTGATTGCTCATATACGGGTATACATATAACAATACCAACAACAATAATAACTAATTAATTGGCTTATAAAGTTAAATAATTGGTTTGATAACTCATATATTTGGCTTATACTAGGGACGGATCCAGGAATGAAGAGTGAGGTGGGCTTAGCAGGAAAAAAATTGTTATTGCAAACAAAAAGTTTAGCTTAGGTTGCTTAGGGCTGTAATCGAATTGAGTTTTTTTCGAACTACGCGAATTCGAGCGTGATTTCGAATTTAATTTAGTGATCTGAGCTTAAGAAGCTTTTTTTAACTCGAACACGAGCTAGATTTTGAGTTCGAATAGTTGTTCAAGCTAAGTTCGAGCATAGTGGTATTCGGTTTGATCCGGATTCGAGTCTATCAATAACTCGTAAATTATAGGAATAAATTTTATTTATCTTAAAATTTAAACATTTTCATTGCAATTTTTTAAATATATTTGAACACTAAAAAAATAGAGTTCATATATCTATTTTATTCAAGCCGAGTTTGAGCATAAATTAAATTAATAATCAAATAGAATTACATAACTATTAAATAAAACTAATGCACAAAATAATAGATTAAAAGAGTATAAGAGTATGTGTGGATGGCTGAACAACTAGACTCGGCTAGAGGCAGCTAGTCGGACTCGAATAGACTAGAGGGGCAGAGCCACAACGAGCTACAGGCTGGAGTGTCGGACTCCAAAGGGACACCGACGATCGACCGCAGACATAGGAGACAGGAAAGCAGGTGGTGGCACGGCTGGGTGCCTGTGTTTGTAACATCTTGGCTTCGTCGCTTTACTGAGTTGAGTCCTTCCCGCTTCTCCTTTGTGCTTGTTAGTCGCTTTATAACAAAAGTATACTTCTACAGTTCTAAAAATCACAAATAGTAGTTCTTACCATGCTTGTTGCAAAAATTAGAACTAGATAATGAACTGGGTGATGGAAAAAGCATAATTTTATTAATAATAATAATAATAATAATAATAATAATAATTTTAATAATAATAATAATAATAATAATAGAAATAGTATATGACCAAATAAGGATAGTTGATAAAGAGTAACTTAGTTATTTTAATGATTATAATTATGTTTAAATTTTAATGCTTATAAAAGTTACTCATGGTGACTTGGGTCAAATAATAGTAATATTCATATAATAATAACAGTATTATAATAATAATATAATATTAATCATAAATTTTATGTTGTAAAATAATATTGTAAACTTGTAATATAAAGTGCTTTCATTGATGGTGTGGGTGAGTGGGTGAGATGGGATTGCATAATTTGCAGCTGGCTCCAAACACCAACTACATACGATTGTTTAATACTCTGTATGTAAAGTTTTGCTCCTCAATTTATCCCATACCGACTGCAAGGATGGTTCACCCTCCTGAGTGTCCTATTAATAAATCACTTCTTGGTGCAATCACACCAAGCTCTATTATTACGCATCGGGATCATTTGTTCCCATGACTATGGGCTTTAAACAAAGTTTGGGCAGCCTTTTGCTTTTAGAGCTTCTTAGAACACTTCCTTGTAGACTTGGGGTGGGCTGAGTTTTAATTTTTTGGATGGGCTGAAAATTAAATCTCTTTCTATACTAACAAAAAAAATTGGATTGGGCTGGGCTAGAGCCCACCCTAGGCCCTACATAGATCCGCCCATGCCTTATGCTACATAAATCTGAGTTTTTCTGTTTTCGATCTCTCGACTATTGAATCAGTGACACTTTTGATACTCGACTTTCAATTTTTCCATTTTAAATCCTTGACAATTGTGTGAGAGACACTTTTAGTCATCGACTTCAATGTTTCCCACATTTAATCCTCTGAGTATTATCGAATTGACATTTTTAGTCCTTTTGTTATGATTTTGACACAATAAGTGGATGAGCAAAAGTGTCACTATTATAATAGTTGGAGGACTAAAAATGTCACTATTATAATAGTTGAAGGACTAAATGTGAAAATTTTTAAAGACGGGTACCAAAATTGTCTTTCGCACAATAGTTGAAGGACTAAAAGTGGAAAAACTAAAAGTCGAGTACCAAAAGTTTCATTGACATAATAGTCGGAGGACTAAAAGTGACACACACTCACGTTAATCTTATCAGCCACTTTTTTTAAAAACTAGTTAACTTTTGATGTAATTATAAAAATAAATAAGATTGATTCTGGCAGGATGAGGGAAGATAGGTTGGTCAAGGGCAAACGTGGCGGATTATGGAAATTTTTTGTTGGGGACCGCCCGGAGGTTTGCCGGCAATGGCGCCGACGAGGTCAACAGACTCAACACCAACTGTTATGGGCTGAGTAAGTGGGCCGACCCAAGGGAACCTGTCTTAATCTAGCCTGCTGGAATGCGGTTGGGAACTTCTGGGCTGGAGCAAGAGACTTGGGTGGACATCTAGTGGACCGCTAGGGCTGCCAGATCCAGATGTGAGACGTTCCGCACGCTAGGCTTCCTAATGGGCCATCTTGGTTGATGCGAACTGGGCTTTGGTGGAGTAGTTTTATTTGACTGGATTTTGTTTTAATATGCTAATGTTTTTTGATAATAAGCGGAGGTTTGCCGCGTGCTAGTTATGATTTCTTTTTCTAAAATTCCTCTCTTACCCTTGTTGTGACCTGTGACGTGGGGGTAGGAGAGGTGAACGATAGTTACTATTTTAGGTTAGTTTACTAGCTTAAATAGTTATTTTTGACACATGTATTTTGTTAGATAGTTATTTTTGACACATGTATTTTGTTACTTTTGGATAATCTTTTAAAGAATTTTGTGAAAGATGATTATTTTAACTATTTTTCATATAATTCATTTCTTATTTTGTTTATTGACAAAGTATATTTTAATTTTTTTCACAATTCAAGATATTCAACCCAATTCAATCTATAGTTTTATATAGTAAAGTTGAGTTAAAAACTAATGATGTGTCAACTTCCTATTGGATGAAGCAAATTCCATTATCACAACAATTAAAACAATTAATTAAATCCTACATCACACGGCTATTTAAAAAAAACTCCCAACATCACAACCCATTTGG